AAAATGTATTGTAATTCCTAAAAATCCTTCAAATTTTAAAGATGACCAAATATCAGCTGTTAAAGCAACTTTTCCTGGAATATTTTTTAATATGTTTAATCATATTTGTAACCAATTCACTTTTTTTTTCAAATTGCTTCATTATAATATTTTTAACTGTTCATCTACTTGGTATTTGATATTGTGAATCAAGTATTGATACTATTTTATTAAATGCTTCTCCTTCTACTACTTTGAATGCTTGCATATCTAAAATTATCCATTTCATAACTGCTTGTGTTTTTTTGGCTTGAATTTCTTGTGAATGTCTTTTAACATAATTATCTAAAGTTGTTTGCTTTTCTTTTTCAAGTAACAATCCATGACTTTTTAAATGGGATCGAATAGAACTAGTTCCTGTTTTATTACCAAAAATTTTAGCGCAATTTGGACATTTTCTTGTTGTTTTATCTACAAAATTCCATACATCAGCTTTTGTTAATTTTTCTTGTAAAGGAGGTAAAGGTGGATCAATTAATTCTTCATTTTCTTCATCAATATCAATAATTTCGTCATTGGTATCAATTTCTTCTTCATCATTACTACTTTCATAATTTTCAGAGATTGTTTCTTCATCACTATCCTTTAATATATCAGACATTTTTAAGTTTATAATTAAATAAAAAAAGAAAAAATAAAATAAAATATAAAAAAAAAGAAATAGAATAAAAGTTAAAAGAAAAAAAATGTAAAAAAAATAAGGATAAAAGAAAGTAAATAAATTTTTAAAAATTGATTTTTAACAGCTATATAAATACAATTTTTATTTTTTGTTTTACTATTAATAATTATTTTGATTTTTTACATGTGAATCTTTATAAAAAATTAAATTATTCGTTACATTGCATATATTTAATGTTTTATTATATTTATCATTTGGTTTTAACTTAAAAAGTATCATGATTTACATTTAATTATAAAAATAAAATGTTTACTATTGTTCTTAAATGTAAGAATATATTATTCTATTTATATAACAATAAAATCAAAA